AATATTACCTGCAAAATGACAGAAACTCTTCATTGATAAGTCTTCAAACTTTTCCTGATGTGTATAAAACAAATTTGCTGAAAATAATTACACAGCAGCTTATGTACACACTATCACACTATAAACAAATCACCATAAAAATCTGGTTAAAAACCAAAAGTGTTTTTGTTGTCAGTCTACCCAAATAACAAAATTCAAGGAAGTGCACATTATTTTAAAGTAGAAAAACATAGATCTAATCTACAAACTATTTCACCAGAAACAAGTTTTAATAACCAGAAATGATGAATGTATTTTCTATAATATGACTTTTCATACATATTTAAAGAAAATTGTGCTCACATCTACCTATGCCACACCAAAAAAAAAATTTTTAGACAGATGGTCTGTTCTAACTTTTGATTTACTGCTTTAGCTTCTCTAGCCCTTAATGCTCTTTAGTAGCAAACTTGGTTTATTAGATAAACTACCATGTGGTTATTAGTAATAACATGTTTAGAAAATATTTTGGTTTTAAACCCTATTTTACATACAAATCTTAATTTTTAAATTGCTGTACCTTATGTCATTATTTGCTTCTAAAAGATAGTTGATTAACACATGCATACACTTTAGATATCAAGTTATAGTGCTCGACAAAGAAAAGTGAAGAATGAACAACTAATTTATCAAAGTAGTGGAACAAAATAAGACAACAGTTATTGAACAGTGCTTATAAAAATAATTTACACAAGACAATGAAATAATAAATTTATCATATCAATCCTAGGGATACGAGTAGCCCATAGGTCAAAGTGCATATGTTATGAACATTTTTACAGAATTAAGTTCAAAATTTAATTAAACAATATTTTCAACGTATATCAATAAAAGTGGCATCAAAACATACTTTTTAATTCAAAATTTTATATTATCTAAGTTTTAATTTCTAAATTTCAAAGAAATACTTAAATAAGTTCTCAATCTTCACTTTTCTTTGACACATGATGCTTCTTGCTCACTGAATTCTCCCCGATATGGGTTTCGAAGTGTCCAACCAATCACAAATACAAACAATAGATAATTACAGGTCAAAACATAAAATTTGATCCTCCTACTTTCTCATTTCTTTTATATCAACACATTTGTCAAACCCACAAGAAAGGCTACTTACTCCCATCTTATCATAGGTTTCAAGGCACTTATCTAAATCACGTGTACTTATTTGACCAATATAACAAATAGAAAAAGCATTTTTTCTTCCACAAAAAACTTATTTTTTTTTGTAGGCTTATGTAGACCAAGGCTTCAGGTTTTTTGTTTATGTTTCTGTGTTTGTTGTTGTTTAGCTCTGAGCAGCTAATAGAATTTTGTAAACCTATTTATAGCTTAGTTAGAAAGCCAGGTAGATTATAGTAGTTTTAGAACATTCCATTCTAGTGCCAGTTATTTTTTGTTTGAAAATGCATATTTGAAAACTATGTGAATCATTTTTTGAACAACCTTCATAGTGAGAAAAAAGTAGAGTTACTAAAGCATGGTAAACAAGTGCAAAAGAGTCAATACCTAAAGTAAGTGCTAAATTTCTTCAAAAGTAACAAATTAAAACTTCTCAGGTTAGGCAACAACAATAGATAATTTAAGATTTTTTGAGCTTAAAATCTGAGCTCAAACTATGTGCAACTTGATCACCATTTTATTTGTGGAGGGAAAATACAGGCTTTCACTGTGATATACTGCTTTTCATGGAGTAATAAACAACTTCCTCGCAAAAAAGTCTGGCAATAAAACAGTAAAAAAAACATGTTAAAAGGTTAACATCAGAAACTGTGAAGATAATTAAGTTGAAGACAAATTTTGCATTAAAAGAAGACAAAAAAGGCATTATTCATTGTATTTCACATTTTCAACTTTTCCTATCACTGTACACTGATGAAAGACTTATGTTTACTAATATTTTGTTAAATTTCATGAAGATATGCTTAGTACATCCAAAATTAAAGCATGTATAGTTTCACAGCTACAGGGGATTACAAGGTTGGTTAATTTGACCAAGTTTGTATGCATAGGGTTAAAAGAAAAACAAGTGATGGAAATTTTGCAGCCATTAAAGAACCTAAGAGAAACAGAGACATTGTAGTTTACAGTACATAGATTTGTTTAAAAACTAAATATTAAGAAAGGGTGGTACATGACATTACCAGTAATTAAATCTATATAAAGTATTACACATTAAAGTTAAAAAGAGCACAAATGATTATTGCCATAGTCTCTGAAAGTAAGTAAAAAAAAAAATTTTGAACTTTACAAAAAACTAAATATCCTTTGGCCATCTGCTCCTGATCCATTTAACTTAACTCTTTCAGCACGGGCTCTGTCCCTGGGAATGACCTTGTAATAATTTTGTGCTTGTTATAGTTTTCATGCTATAACTTTTAAAATAGTAAGTGTATGTCAACAAAATTTGGCAGATTACCAGTAAACATTAAAATGCTTTGATACACAAAATATCAAGTCTTAAGGTTTGTTAAGCAATGTTTTTCTCATGTCTAGTTTTATTCTTTTTCCATGTTGCCTATCCAACATGAAAAGTAATTTTCATTTTAACATTAAAAATACTTTTATGCATCAGAGAAATTTTGAAATTTCACACGAGTAATCTTTATAATGTCCAAATAGTTATCAAATGTTTCTTAACAAAAAGTTTTTATATTTTATCTGTAATTTTCAGTAATTAATCTCTGTACGGGTTCAGTAAATTTGACCAATCTCGCAACCACCAGAAAAAAATTAGGAAATAAACATAAATTATGCATCTTTCATTCTAGAATGAATACAAATTATAACATGAAAACATAAACGTTTAGATGAAGTAGCTTAAATACCCCACGAGGATTTTTTTTTCATTATCTTACCTAATCCAACCTAAGTTTCTAATTTGTACATTTTAGTTACTTTTATACTCATACATAAAGAATACACAGGAAAAACAAGAAATACAGTACTTACCTGGGTCTCTGTGTCAACTGTCAATGAAACTTAATCCTTTTTTTTTATATATATATACTAATGGTACTACTACACTAAATAATTTATTTAATTAATGAAAAAGCCTTTTCAAAGTTTAACCTAAGACTATGCAAGCTTCAAATCTGAAGCAATGAAAAATAATTGTGTTTGTAATACCTGTAAATGAACAAAATCAAATAATTCACACACTTACTAAGCCCATAACATTAAATTGCACAATTCCCAGTTAGCTCAGATGAGATAGAAAAACTTACTTTAACACGATCATGGCGATTGTTGAATAACTGACATCGTCGTATAGAAGACAAAACTGGGTCTGAGGAATCATCAATCATGTTGTGGGAACAAATAGGTGGCAAGGTTGTTCGCTAAATTGTTACCAATCAAAACTCAGTTAGTTAAAAAATGTATCTATGTTACATCTATTTATCTATGTCAACAATAACCATTTTTCATTGTTATTAGTTCTATTTCAATAAAATTAACCAAATATACTTTAGTTCATAAAAAGAGTTGAAGCTTTCCTTTAAATTATTCACAGTGATATACAAGCTCATTTTCATGATATGTAAAAATGAAAAGAACTTTAAAAGAAATAAAAAGTTGGTGTGAAAGATGGCAAACAGTACACCACTCCTCAGACAAGAGGAGTTATTACTGGTACCACTCCACTCTTTATGAGAGTTTCTTCTATCTGCATGGGCACATTCTTAAAAGAAAGCCAATATACTAAACAAATTAGAGACCTTGAGTATAAAGCAAAAAATAAAATAATGAAGTCTGATAGAATTTTGTATTTGGAATGTTTTAAAACCATTTTTTGCTTTACTAAAACTTCTTCAAGATATGACAAGAAAACAAAATTTAAAGTAAAACAAATGATTTTTAGGCAGTATTCGTGTAAAAGAATCTAACCTGAGTAGCATAAATACATCTTTTTAATTTCACAATATCTTCTGGTAAAATCAGCTGATCTCCTTTAGGTATCTGGCCACTGGAAAAAAACATCAAAGTTCAAGATAATAATCAATTTTTGAAAATGTTTAAGAGAGAAAACGACTAATGTAATATTGATGTATAAAGTGTACTTAGATAAATAATTTCAAAGTATTATTTTTATATATATGAAACTTTTTCTTTTCATTGAACATAGAAGAATAAAGCTCCAAATGAAATAAAAATGAGGACTGGCAACTACTATTAAGCTATAATGAATCCAAAAGGAATTGCCATTAAATTATGATAACTGTATTAATTCTTATGTCACAAAGTTTTCATTAATTGAATATTAAAACTGAATTATGGGGATTTTAGGGCAAAAGTGCTGTAATACCTAGAATACTCATGAACTTTGCTCAAATATGTGGGTACTTGAGTTCACTAAGATACAATTTCTTACTGTGACAGCACAAATTCTGGTGAACAAATATATGCCTGCCATTCTTAGCCCACAAAGTAAAAATTAATGAGAATGTGGTAACACACGAATTAATACAATTATTTTCAAAATATCATCAATTCCCAGCAATTCCTTTTGTGTGACAATCTATATAGTTTAATTACATTTTCTTTGATGCAAAAGGCTTCTTGGACATGATAACAGAACATGGTAAAATTTTAAATTTCATCACAAAAAAGGATTATTTGGAAAGACTTAGCACAGAAACTGATTGTAAATATGTTTTTAATTCCTGTAACAGAAACTTTATGAATTTTTGATACAGAAACTGACTTTAAGAAAGTTGTACATTTCAGTGTAAGAATCACTCTTTTGTAGAATTTTCTGAGGTAAAGAATTCAAAGATTTAATCTAGTTTAATTAGATCAAAAATACCAATAGTCTGTTTCCAAAGTTTTAAACATAATGTTGAAACTCACCTTAAACATACTTCAAACATCCTCTTTCCAATCTTAGACTGTATGTCATGTACAGTATCACGAAGTTGTTTACAAATAGCTTGACCTCGTAGAGATTCAACATTAAAATTGTTTATCCGAGCAGGAAAAATGAGAAATGCAACAACAGTCATATCACTTCCTGCAGCCTGAAAATGTCACACACACACATTTCATATTAAAATAAACCTTCAATAATAGACCTAATTAATACCCAAATATTAACCCTATCGTGACAGGTAACGTGTCAAAGGACATGTCATCTCGTCGTTGACTTGCCTTCAAAATTTTATTGAACTACTATTTTATGAATTTATGTCAATAAGTTTGTTATCAAATTGTAGATTATAATTCAAATTTTAATATTATACATCAGTTAATTTCTTAATTTAAAAGTAAATATAAAAATAAAAAAAACACCTAAACATTGATTTTTGTGTGTCACATGGTATGTTGAATGCAGCACTAGTTCAAATTAGATGGTTGCGATGTCAGAATACAAAGTCTATAGTTTCATACAATTTAGGAACTCAAACTACCAATATTGACAAGCTAAAATATAAAACAAGAACCTCTTATTTGTTCTATTTACTAAGATATCACTCATGTACTGAATCAAACACAGTGGCCCCCCACCCACTTCTTTCCATTTTTGGAAACACTCCCTTATATACACTTACTTCTATATACGACATGAATAACCAATTGAAAGCTCAGAATGTCCCCCTAGATTTCAAGATTCCAACCAATAAGGTAAGTCTTTAGTGAGCTTGAAATTTCATATTTTTTTAAGACTCAAATACAGCTTAGTTACTATGCTTCATATATTATAGTGAAATTCTATGGTATTGATTTAGTAATTTATGATTATTTCTTTTATTTAAAAAGTATATATAAAACCTAAAAATAATTTTCTTTTCACATCCTTTACATGGGAAATTTCACTAGGCTTTGCAACCTATGACAAGCAGCAAACAAGTACAAAAGTCATAACTAGAAAAGATAATTGTTTGTTTTACTTCTTTAAAACACATAAAACACAGCAAAGAAAGGTCACTTTGTAAAGGCCAGTTTTATATTATTGGATATGGTATAACACACATGCGCTCCTCATCATGATAACTTCTGTCTTGTTAGTCAGGCATGGCTGAAAGGTCAATATAATAAAAATAACAAATATACATAAATGTATGATGTTATGAGATTTAAGCTATTTAGACTAAACATTTGTGTTTTCATGTTACAATCTGTAGTCATTCTAGAATGAAAAAAGCATAATTTAAATTTATTTTCTAATTTTCTTTGGTGGTTAACAGGCTGGTCAGATTGACAGACCCTATAGAGTTAGAGTAGAGAAAATAATATAAAATATATAAAGTTTTACTGAAAACCAACATTTGAATTGTATTTAGGAGGTTTTAGAGATTACACAAATAATATTTAAGATTTTGGGGATGAACAATAGTTTTCAGTTTTAATGGGAAAATTACTTTGTACTTGGATTGGTAACAAAACAGACTTGATATTTTTACAAACAAATCTATAATAAAAGTACTTTATTAACAATTTTTTTTTGTGTAAGAAAGACTTGTAATCTGTACTAAAAGTCTACCAAATTTTGTGAAGATAAACTTACTGCATTAAAAATTACAGTATAAATATTTAACTGCTGTATTATACTGAGCCTGTCACAAAAGGGTTAAAAACAAAAATTTCCTGAACAAAAATTGATGAATACCCAGACAATCATTAGAGATGAGTAATTCATGTCAAGTTTAAGGTACACACTCAACATTCATCATAAATATAAGTTTATTCAATATCGAAAGACAAAAAAAATTCAATTGTTACAGGATTATATGATCTGTAAACATACCTTAAGAAAGTGATTCAGACGAGCAAGGGCTTCAATGAACATGTCAGCTCCTTTGTTTGAAAATTCATAACGTCCCGCAATGAAACAATAAAGAGTTTTGTCCAGGTCAAAGTCATAATGTCTACAACAGAATACAAACAAGATATATCAGAATTTTGTAACACACAGCTTAGCAACTCAGTATAGGCAAAGAAGTGGAAAGCTAAAAGAACTTACTGTGCAAAGAGAAGTTCACTCAAAAAATACTATCATGAAGCAAAACAGCAAACAAGATACAAAATAATTAAATACCTTATAAACCAAATAAATTTTCTTGAAGTTTAAATGAACTGACAACACTCAAAATGAAATAAATAACTAAGAAAAAATGAAAGTAAACATTACAGATTAATCAATGTGGAATTACTTTAACTAAAGTAAAACTACATTTTTAAACAAATACACATTTTCATTTTTGCTTGACCTTACAAGAAAAAGACAAAAAAGTTTTAAAAATACATTGTAAAAGGTACTTTACACTTCTTTTACACAGTTAAGTAGACTTAACTATAAATGTCCTATATTTAAAAACGTACCCATAGAAATGACCTCTGACAAAGTCGTGAATTTTTTCTTTTGCTAAAGCATGAAGATTCTGAAATTCATGAAGTGCACTAAACTTCTTCACATTCAGCCCATTTGGTGTTACTATGTCTGAAGAAGTAAAGTCAGACTTTTCATTATTAAAAATAGATGTTAACTAAACAGAAAAATTAATCATGGTTTAACAACATTTAAGCAGTTAAACAAAGCTTTTTAAGTACCGGTAATCTTACATTCATAATAATTAAATTTTTTAAACTATTAAATCTTGTTAAAATTATAAACAAGTGTGGATAAGTTACCAGTTGCAAATCTACTGATGAGCTTCAAAGTCTAATTCATAAATAAATAAATTAAAAAAAGGTCAGGAGTATGTTACGATCTCAAAAAACATTTCAGGAAGAAAATTAAAATATACATCAGATTTACTTTCTTGAAATGTAAAATGAAATTAAACAGAGAAAATAAATTATAATAGTACAGGAGCCAAATATTTTGAAAGAGAAATAACAAAAAAAATTTCACTTAAAAAGTTTTAGTGAACTTAACCTTCTGGATAGAGGTAGGTAAAAGTGCACATCACAACCTATTTACAGCTACATTAAAAATATAATTAAACTACTTCATTATTAATTAATGTATGTCAATAAACTAGGCATCAAAACATAGTTAATAAACGAAGTTTTAATATTATTCAAGTTTTAATTTCTTAATTCCAAAAGAATAAATTTAAGTAAATTATTATTCTTCATTTCTTTATATCATGAAATTTCTTCGCTCTGAACTGCACAATTTACTTATCCCTTCCATTCCTATTTGAGCTTCTGAGTTTTAATATAAATTACAAACTTATAGTATAGATATTGCTAAGACCTAATCTAAATTTATAGCCTTCAATCATCTTTATTTACAGAAACAAATTAGAAAGTCAAACCCACATGCCATGCCTTCCTATCACAGTTTTCTAAAATATGATGATAATTCTTTTTCTGTTTGTTAACTGAATTACTTAACAAGCAAGCCTGTTCTCATAACTGTTTTCAAATTATTTGTTCTACAAATTCAAAATTGCTATTGTCAAGTTCACCTTTACCAAGTTAGGGAAATATTTTAATGCACTTATAGCTTAGTTAGAAAGCTAGTTAAATTACATTAGTTATAGGACAATGTGTTCTTTGTTCATATTATTATTTTGTGTTCCTAATTGAATATTTGACATAACTAAAATTCAGTAAAGTACCAAAATAATTATCTCAAAGTTAACCTTTATCAAGACTTCAACTGCAAAAAGTACAAGACCTATACATAAGTACTAAATTTTTTATGTACATTTTTGACTGTTATAAAAGTAACTAAAATGCAAAAATTAGAAAATTATTAGATAAGAAAACATGTGAAAAAAATGTAAGTAAATTTCTCAGTGAAGTATGCATGTGAGTTGCAATGTAATTGAATACTTTGTTTTACTCTAACTTAAGTTATTTGTTCACCATTATTTGTTTATAGCTTTTTATGCATGTTTAGTTGTTAGACACAGTTAAAAAAAAATAAAACAACAGAATTAAGTAAAATCAAATGTAAACTGTTATGAAACTGAGACTGTTTAGCATTAATAATTGTAATTTTCTGTTACAATCTGCTGTTATTCTTGAAAGAAAAAGGGGAATTTAGATTTTGTACTTTTTTATGGTGATTAAGAGGTCGGTCAAATGGACTAAACCAGTACAGAGTTAAGTAGAGAAAATAACAAATAATATATAAAGTTTTACTGAAAAACTTTTGACATTCATTTAGAATGTTCTAGAGGTTGAACAAAAGAAATATAACAACTAAAACTTGAAAAAAATATTTTTAATCTTCACATGAAAATCAACTTGCACTCAGAATAGTCAGATTATGACTATTATAAATCATCAGGCAAATCTTTAGTAAAAATACTTTATTAAAAAATTTGATTTTTTGTGCACAAGACTTGTAATGATTACTAAAAGCTTGACAAATTTCATTAAGATACACTAACTGTATTAAAAGTTATATTATGTATAATTCAATGGTTACATGGTGGTTAGTAAAAAGGTAGTTCAAAATGACCGAATCTGTATACAGAGTTCACCAGAAAAAACATGAAAAAATATTAATTTAATAATAATTTTGTCTGTTCAGCCATTTTACTTCATAAACTGTATGTTAGAAACTTCTTTGCACTTTAAGTAAGCATTTTCTTATCTGAGTAGGTCTTTATGCATCCACAGAAAAATTCCCAGTAGTATATTCATTAAATGAAAATTCTTTACAGTAAGTGTAATTACATCAGTATATTTTTAAAACAATTCTTTACTTATTAGGCCACAATCTTGCAAAATTCTAAGAATACACCCCTTCCCAAGCAGGTATTGCAAAACTAGTAATTTTTTTAGAATGTAGATTTTTTACACAAATAATTTAATAAAATTTTCCAAAAAACTATTACCTGACCCGAGAATAATATAAAATAGGGAAATGAATAATGAGTTATAAAGGATAATAATATGTTTTCAAAAAAAGGGAGCTGGGATCATATGTTACCAGGCTTTCTTTTCAGCAGGTGTTCTGCTTCAAGGGCAGTAATGTCGGAGACAGTGGTGAAGATGTGGGCACTATGAACAGCAGCTCGTTCCATGCAGTAACGATGGTAGATGCTGCGATCTCCAGCTTCTTTGTCTAAGTTGAACTTAAAGAAAGTTAATTTTTCATTACTTTGGTGTTTTTATAAGAATATTTGAGAACATGCAAGTCAAAGGTTTTAACACCATACAAAAATAGGCATTTCTTTCTTACTCACCAATAAATGATTTGTTAGTTCTTTCCAGATTCATAATATATATATATACACACACACACACACACACATATATATACACTTTTATTTTAAATATCACATATTTAGCTAAATATACATGTATAAAGAATAAGTTTGATATGTTATAATGACTGTTAAAAATTGTTTAAATCATACTTAGTGACATGAAAAAGTGTGTAGTATGTATTATTAATGAAAATTACATTCCAAGACTAAATTCTGATAGAATTTTCTACTTCCTCAGTGAGGAGATTTCCAGAAAGCCAAACTTTTCAGCATTTAACAAGAATGAATACCTTTCTATTATCATGTGCATTCGAAAGCAGAACATTATTTAATTTCTTTTTGATAATCTGAAATCAATCAAAATTTAATGTTCATAAGTAATTACTATTTTTTGTGCTATTAATAGAGTACAAAAATCTTCTTAACTCTTTCAGCATGGGCTCAGTCCCAGGAAATGACCTCGTAACAATTTTGTGCTTGTTATAGTTTTAAGGTATAACTTTCAAATTAGTTAGCGAACGTTAAAAAAATTTGGCAGATTATCAGTAAACATCACAATGCTTTCATGTGCAAAATATCTAATTTTTTTATTAAATCTTAAGGTTTATAAAGAAATGTTTTTCTCATGTCTTTTTTTTCTTTTCACATGTTTCCTATCAATCATGCAAAGTAATATTCATTTTAATATTAAAAATACTTTTATGTATCAGAAAATTTTGAAATTTCACGTGCAAAATCTTTATGATGTACAGACAGTTATTAAATGTTTCTTAAGAAAAAACTATATCTTATCTGTTATTTTCACTAAAGGATCTCTGTATGGATTCGGTAGATTATTATGCCTTTTTTGTTCTAAAATGACAACAAATTATAACATGAAAACATACATGTTTAGACATTTATACATATACATTATATTGACCTTCCAGCCATGCCTGACTAACAATAAAGAAGTTACAATAAAGCAGCTCACGTGCACTCATGTTACCGTATCAAATAACATAAAACCGACCTTTGGTCTGTGCAAAGTAACATGTCTTGGCCGTATTTTAGTAGAGTAGTATTTTGTAAAATACAGTCAAATTTAAATTTTTTATAAATTATATATGTATATATATATTGCTATTTTGAAATGTTATTAAACTTATTCTTCTTAAAACATAGAACAGTAACTAAAGAAGTAAAGCAAACAATTCTCTTCTAGTTATGACCTTTCTACTTGGTTGCTGCTTGACGTAGGTTGCCAAGCCTTTAAAAAAATTGCATGTGGAGGACATGAAACAAAATATTTTTTAAGGTTTTATACATACATTTGAATAACTAAAAAATCATAAATTACTACATTAATACCATAGAATTCCACTATAATTTACCAAGCTCAGTAACTAAGATGTATTTTAGTCTTAAAAAATATGAAATTTGGAGCAGACTAAAGACACCCTACCTCGTTGAAATATTGGTTCAAAAGAAAGAAATGGTGCCAAGCCCATTAAAAGTGGCTGAAAAACCACTAGGGGGACATTCTGAGCTTCCTATTGGATATTCATGTCATATATATAGAAATAAATGTAAATAATGGAGTGTTTCTAAAAATGGAAAAAGGTGGGAGGGGTGCAACTGTGTTTGATTTATTACATGAGCAATGTCTTAGCAAATTGAAAATATAAGAGGTTCTTATTTTATTATTCTAGCTTGTCAATATCAGTAATCTGAGTTTCTAATTCGTATGAAACTACAGACTTAGTATTTTAACTTCACAAACATCTAATTTGAACCAGTGCTGCATTCAACATACCATGTGACACACAAAAATCGATGTTTGTGTTTTTTAAGTTTTTGAATTATGAAATAAGCTAATGTATAACATTAAAATTGTAATTATAATCTACAGTTTGATACCAAAGTTTCTTACATAAATTCATGAAATAGTAGTTCAATAAAATTTTAAATACGAGTCAACATGAGATAACATGGCATTTCACCTGTGACTCGCCTCAAAAGGGTTAATTAAATCATAAATACCTCTGTTTAGTAATAGTTTTGATTTAAAATGGTATTACTTTATAATTTCTTTTGAAATCAATCTTTCCAATGTAGCAATGATATTAGTTTAAAACTTCTTATTTATAAAAATAATGTTAAGAATAGAAAAGAGAGTATCTGAAGATACACCATTTCTAAATTTTGGAACCATATTCTGTTCAAATGTAAAATCCACTGAATATTTTTTTTTTCTACAGTGAGCATGCCATGTTAAAAATTTTACATTTCTGGAGCAATAATCTACATCCAACAATTCAAAAATATCGTTGTAATATGCTCTCTTGTAACTGTAGTATACAAACTATTAGTTGGTAGAGCTGGGTGATTAATCAATTTCCTGTGAGCATATATTACATCAATTAGTATCATTTGACAAAAATTATGATTAATGTCACAAAAATAATCCATTAATAGATGTTAGTGTTTCCAGTTGTTACATTTTAGATTATTCCAACTATCAAAGCAATGGAAATATTGCAATTATGATTTTATTTATTATCTTAGATTAATTTATGCTTGTTCAGCTTAACTGATTAGTGTTATCACTCATGAAAATAATCAACTAATTGAAATTAGTGTTTCTGATAATTACTATTTTTTGGTCATTCCAACTATTCAAGTCTAATGTGAAAACAATCATCAGTTGAATGTAATTTATTACTGAGCCTGACAATTAACTGATTAACTAGTAATTCCATTAATCACCCAGCTTTATTTATGGACGAAATTTATCTTTTTATAATATTTGGTAAATGAAGAAATATGTACTTATATATTTTTGCTTGGACAAGTTTAAATGATATAAAAAGACACTGATTTTTTTTTAAGCGTCTTCTTCCCCATTTTAAGGAATTTTAATAACTTTTACTTAGATTTCATAAAGTTTAAACTTGATGCAGAATAAACACCCTTACCTTATCAAGACTGTTATAAAAGTCAACATTAGCAGCACACAAGTATCTTCCAAGCAGAGTGGCATGTGTTGTGAACACTGTGGCTATATCCAAGTGTCGTGTCCGACACAATACCAAACCAATACCTGCTAACCATTCATGAAAATGAGCCACAATAAGGGGACGACTTCTTTCTTTTGATAATTCTTTCAAAAACTGGAAATATAAAAAAAATAAAATTTTCTAACATTGAGGCTGTTGGTAAAAATCATTTTATCAGCTAATCATAATCAATAAAAAAGCAGTAAAATTTAACATTATTATATTTCTTCTTTAACAGAATACAATAATTTGTTAATTGTTATCTGTTTACTCACATTTAATTTTTATAGCCAGAGTTTTAAGATAAAAATTATTATTTAACTACAGATTAGAAGCATCTAAGTATGCTTTAACTTAGAATGACTTTAAGCAGGCTGATAGTAAGACACACAGTGGTTTTTCTATATATCTGCAACACAAAGAACAGATATGACTGACCACGCATATATGGCATGGGGTCAAGGAGCACATGTTATGAACTTATAGAATTACATTCAAAATTTAACAGAATGTGCACAAGGCACCAACCCTGAATTGGAGAAGGAATATTGACTATAATTCCAAATCTATGAAGTATATGTACAGGTCTGTTGTACACAAAAACCATGTGTAACAAAAATATTTGTACTCAAGATTTGTTTGTGAATTAACAAGTCAGTCTGACTCACACTCTTAACAAGTCGGTATGCAAGATGATGTTCACATGAAGAATAAAAGTTAACATTTTCTTACACTGGAAAAGTATTTACCTTCTCTCACACAAAAGGCTATCTCGATTGTTGAATGCCCTCTAATCATTGCTAAAATAATTTTAGTAACCAGCACACAAGTCTTTATACCTCACCAGTTTCGCACCATTTCTAAACACATACGTACCATGTGACTACTCTCCACCAATATTATTGGACCACCTATAACGGCACAACTAGCTCCCTCTGCTATGCCCGCTCAATCCTCACTTCTGAGAATTGGCAAGTACTAGAATAAAAACACCAGTTTTAGTGAAGAAGGAGGATGTGAAGTGTGTGAAAGGAGATAAGTACTTATTGTAAATACATTTTCAGTGTAAGAAAATGTTAACTTCCATAATGGACTTTCCTCCTCTCACACAAAAGGCTAAAATTCCATATAGCAAAGATGGTGAGCCAGTTTAGGTGCACAAAGAACAAACCAAGTAGAAAGTGACCACCCAGAATGAACTGGTGTGCTCAGAGAAGAAAATGAAGCACACCTGTGGGGTACTGAATTACTTCTGGAACAGGTATGCTCTTCACCTAGAAATTAGGAAAGTAACATAAAATGGGCAAAAAAGGGAATGCTTGCACAACTGTTAAGAAAGTGCAAACTGTATCAACATATAACAAGATTAAAAAAATGTAATAACAATAAGTGAGTAGGACACGTGGACTGTGTTATCGATACCCAACAACCCCAACCGTATGTAAACAGAGTGCCGTATATCAAGCAACTGGAATTATGAAAAGGAAGTAAGCAGTGGTCATAACCAGACAAACTCCCAAAACCACCCTCTGAGCAAAAAGTATGATAAACTGAACCCAACATTATGGGGTTTTGGCATTGTCTTGACTCACCCATAAGAACAGGGAAATCTGTAACCGGTATTATGGGTAAGATCATCACACACTCAACTGTAAATACAGGGTAGAGACATCCTGTATTCAGAATTATGAGGAGGACAAGCAGCATTCACCCAACTGTAGGAACAGAGCATAGACGTCCCATAGCCAGTATTATGAGGAAGATGAAGTCTCTCAAACCCAACCGTAGAAGAAGGAAAGACCCTTCTGCAACCGGAATTAACAAGAGAGGCATCTACTGCACACAACTGTAGGAACAGAGCATTGTCATCCTGAACCCAGAATTACAAGGAGTATTCCATGTAGGCTGGCCCAAAATAACATTTGATCGTTGGTTTTATTGGGTACGGTCTGCCAAGGCAAAAAATATCCAGGGTAAGTGCCAGTAGGGAACCAGGTTCACCCTCTTTTCCTGAATGGATAAGCAAGCATAATTGAAGTAACACTCAGGAGGAAGCCTCCATGGTCCACCACCCTATTGACTGGGAACTGAGAGTGGTAAGGACTCACATGCTATACTCAAAGGAAAGGGAGTAAAAAGGCTGTGGGGAGTCTAGAGGAATGTCACACAGGAGACAGTGCAATGGGTGGCTGTGTTTTCCTATTTTGAAAAGCAAACCAAACCTGATTAACCCATTAACAGCTGCAGGAGCAGCTCAGTTGCCATTTTCTGACTCACAGATAAAACTGAGTTACCATCAATCACAATAAAATGGTAATTATCATCATTCGCATAGAGTTATAGTTATATATGTGCGACTGACGGATATTTCCGTCATTTGCAGCTGAGTCATAGAACTTCAATGACAGAAATATCCGTCATCCGCAGTTAATGGGTTAAGGAATCAAAGGGTCGGCAGGGATAGGCTTCTGCTTCACTCAGGAAGTCCAAGATTGATGCTCCACTAAAAGATATATTTATCATACATAGATATACACATGCACCACTGAGAAAGCAGTGGCCTTACAGAAACAACCCATCTCAACTGTGAGCATAATATAATTACTACATTTAGTGAAGGTTTGAGACAAAGCACACCTGGCCAGGCAACACCTGCCACTAGGTGGGATCCGTAAAGAAGCTGAAAAGAAAACATAAAAGAAAGGAAATGAGCAGACTTACCCCAGTTAAAGGTGAATGGACATGTATAGAATTACCATGGGAGGAAGATGATATCCACCAAAGGAAAAAATAGCTGGTCTAGTAGTTGTCCCCATACCAACATGGACAATTTCTTCCAAGGGGAGGCAAACCATAAAGAAATGGGAATAAAAACCCAGATGAGTGGGAAACACCTGCTCAATAGCTCCTTTGTGTAAGAGGTCTTGAATGGCCTTGGCAAGATGACTGAGAGAGGAAGGATCCCAAGGAGGAGGAGGAGAGGAAATTGGGGAAGAGAAATGGGGTGGGGAACTGAACCAAAGGCAAAAACTTTCCAACAGAACCCATAGAATCTAAGGATCTGTTGTGAAGTGCCCCCACACCATTGAAAAGTGGAGCAATTTGTCCCCCACAGTACAGGGAACCTCTGCTGTGTCACCAATAATGCTGGTGTATGTCTGAATGGGCATAGGTAAAGCGAGGATAGAGATGGGAATGCCATGAGGAATGTAAAGGACAGGGTGTGGAAGGAGGAGGGTGGGAAACCAGGCTTGAACTTCCTCAGCAGTTAAATAATCGGAAGGTGGACTTTCACATAGTAAGGTAGGGGAGGAATCATAGGCTATAGGGGAAACACCTA